GCGGTCCTAGGTTATAGTTCTTGTGTGCTTATCTCTAAGAATTTTACTTTGGTTATATTATTTCGGAAATTTCTTGGGACTATTTTTTCTTATGAAAGCCAAGACCCCAGTTTTAGTCTAGTTAACTCTACAGATTATCTGGTCAATTTCCATTGTGGGTTAGGGGCCTTGCCTATAATGGGTATAATTTGAGACCAGCCACATATAATTCAGTTATAATAAAGCCTTAATATTAGACTAACTCTATTCGCGAATACCAAATCTGTTCTAATGCATTTACTGTATAAAAATGACAAGTTGAAACAATAAGACATGATAACAGATAGTCATTATTTCTATTATCGTGTTCGTACAGTTTCTGTGAGATAAATTTTCATAAATTCTAATAATCCAAATCATTCCATACGAATGCAGTACGAAAAAAAGCATTTTTAGTTGTTGATTACCGCTACTTATGATCTACCACAGCGTAAGATCGTAAGAAACTCCTTTACTTTTGATTATTAACAAATTTTTATTTTTATTTGTAATCACAAGTATGACATTTCAGTTTATTGCTAGTACTGATAATAACTTAGGAAGTATTCACATGTTATCTTCGTTCATGCACATACACAAAAAACTTTTTTCAATGAAACCGAATCGAGTTTTACCAAGTACAGTACTTTCTTTCTTAACTTCTAGAAACTTCAACGGAGCAGTGACACACCCCCTTATTCTAGTTTATTGAATTTTTAAATTATATGTTTCATTGATTTGTATTTGGTTATATAAGAAAAATAATCTTACTCCTTACTCTGAATTTTTGAAAAAAAAAATTTATAGACAAAACAAAGTAGATTAAAATTGATTATTAAATATATTAAAAAAATATATATAAATCATTAAACAATCGTCGAATATTTATAAATATATTAATAATAATATATCACAGCTATAATAAAATAACTGGCCTTTAATTTTTAGAATTAAATTGAGGAAAAAATTTTAAAGGCAAAATAACTATTTTGTTTATACAGTATTTAAATTTTCAAACTTTGTAAGAAATTTTATAATAGTGTTATTATAATATGAAATAAAATAATATTAAATTTAATCACACTATCCTATATTTAGAGCACTACTTGTTTATTTTCTATTTTTAAATGAGAAATGAAAATATACAAAGTAAATAATAATAATAATTTTTATTTTATTTATCAAAGATAATTAAAATCATGATATTTTCGTAATGATCAGAAATATTCCTGGAAATTTAACTAATTAATGATTCTCTTATTTACCTTATCATTTATTATTAAGGTTTTAATTAACGATATCATGTATACTTGGAAGTTTAAGTAATTAAATGTAATAGCTGTTTTTTTTAGTTAATAAATTCCGTTTCGGTAGACAGAAAACAGTTGCAATCATTTGGAAAATTATAGAATGCTAATTATTTACTTTATAAATTAGAATTTACCTCTCGAGAATTTAATACGTTATTTAATAACTATACTAACAATGTGTGAAGAAATCTTTTAAAGTGTAATGTCTTATAAGAAAGGAAAAAAAAGTGATTATTCTAAAGACAATTAAAAAAAAACATCTTTAAGTTAAACATTATTTTAAGTTTAAATTCCAGTTATATTTAATCGATTATAAATAAAATTAACAATTTAAATTTGAGAATATTACTTGTCTTGTTAAAATTTTCATAATAAAAATTAAACAAATTCAATAGAAGTTTTTTCATCAGCAATTTATTTTATAAATTAAAAAATAATTAATGTAATATATTCAAATAATAAATTAGAGTTTCTAAAATTTTCTATAAATAATAAAATATTCAAAATTGCAGTAACAAATACAAATCTTCGCATTCATATAAATATATTATTATATTAATAGCAAGAACTGTAGAGATTAACGTAAGACAAAAAATTAGTTACAAAATCTTCATAAATTATGTAAACGTATAATTTCATTACTTATATTTATAACAAAACGATTATTAATTCATAATATTTACTTTTATAAGTACTCTATTTGTTTTAAAAATTTCTCGGTAATAAATAAAAATTAAATTTAAATTTATTAAAATAATAAAGATACCTTATCATAGTAACATAGAGTGAATTCTAATATCTAATAGTTACATTATACGTTAAATAATCAGACCTAAAGCTTAGTTCACAAATTAATGTTTAAATAAGCAAAAATAAAACGAATGATTAGTATAATAAATATTGTTTTACGTATAAAATTCAGCTTAATATGATTAAAAATTCGATGTTTTAATTTTCTGAAAAATATAAAGCAAAGGATATTAAATTATTTTAAAAATAAATCATTAAGATTAATATATTTTTAAAATATATACTAATCTTATATACATTATTTTAAAAATATATTGTTTTACTCGTTATAAATAGTAAACATTACTAAAATAATAAAATAATTTAAAAATGATACTTTTAACGCATTTTTGAAATTTAAAAAAACGCTTTTATTGTCATGTTTTTCGAGTGTGAGGTAGAAGTGATCTTACTACAATGCATTTACATACAAACGTTATGTTTAGCGGGTTTCGGAATCGGTCAGCCCCTAAAACATCATTAAAATGCATTGGCATCGGATATAAGTACTACGTCTTCAAAGTTTCTATCTTAATTAGAAGTAGATTAAATTTGAGTTGCATGATTTGAAGACATACAAAGCAAGTTAAATAAAAACGTTTAAAAACGTTCTGAAATTTATTAATTTTAATAGTTTATTAAAACAATTTTGTACTGATCGAATATATATTCTTTTAAATTCTGAATATATAATACTATATATATATGTATACAGTATAGTATAAAATATGCAATGTCTGAAGTGATACAAATTAGATACAGATATATGATCAATAAATTAAGCCTACTATTAAAAGTTTATCAAAATTTGGTATGAAAGTCATCGAATTTTTGAATAACTGAAATTCATATTCAGGAAAACGATCATTTTCCTTAAAAAATTATTATTCATTTTTTAGACTCTGAAAACGAAGTAAAAATTCAAATAAAGAAAAGAAGATATTTTAATGATGAATCACATACGCAATTTATTTTTTAACGTTAATTGGAAAGCCTATTTAATAAAAATACAAATTAGTTAACATAAAAGTTAATTTAAAAAAAAATTTATTAGGAATAATGACAGATGTTTTCAATGAAAGTAAGATAATTTCTGTATTTCTTTTATAATAATTTTCATTTTTAACGTAAGATAGTTCATGTTTAGTATTAGATAATATTGAAATTTGTTTCATATTTAACCTATTTTAACAATTGAATGTTGTTAACATTGTTAAGTATAATATAATTTACAGGAGACCCTCAATTTAACGGACAAGAGATTTCTGTCCTAAAGAAAAATTTTATGACATTTTTTTTTATTTGTGAATAGAGCACGATAAAAGATTGGGTCAATGAGCAACGAATATAAAGTAGTCAATGTACAGCTCGTTATAATAAGAGTTTATTCATACTTATATATTATGATAGCATTGTAATACAGGCCTATACATTCTAAATTCGTTATTGGGCTGAAATTTAAATAAATTGTAGACCTATAAATTTCCACTGTTGTCCGTCTGACTGTCTTTCCTTAATCTCGAGATCGGAGTTAGATACATAATACCAAGACCAGATATAGAAAAAATAGGAGAGGATGCCCCGATTTTAACTACAGTATATACGAACTTCCGGTACAAACCGAAAGTCACGTGATTTCAATTCAAACCCTTTTTTCCTAAAAGGACTTAATCGCTAACGAAAAGTATGATGTACAGGGGCAAGCCACTACTAATTTGAAGTTGAGAGCATATATTTTAAATTAAAAAAAAAATAAAAAATATAATTAAAAATTGCAGTCCGGCATTGTGACAATGTCACAATAAATAATTACGCGTTAATTAATATATTCTAAAAACACATTCGATTTAACAGACATTCGGCAATTATCGGACACTCCTTTCCCCAATTAGTCCGTTAAATCGTGGACCTACTATATTTACTAAAGCATTTGTTAGTTACATTGTTATAATAGCGATAGGAATGAAAATTGAATATTGATTTTTAATTTATAGATACTAAAATATTTTAATTATCTAATGTTAATTTAGTGCTTTCACTTATATGAAATTCATTATATAAACAAAATTAAATAATAAAATTTATCAAATTAAACTACAGTATTTTACAAGCTATAGCCAAAAAGTAAAATCTTATATTTTTCCTTATGTAAATTTAATTATTTATTTTATCCTCTGTTAATATAAATTTTTGAATATTAAGACATAAAGTTTCAGTTTTTTTAAATATATTATAACCAGATTCACAATTAAACCGGAAACAATTTAAACGTTTGTCATTTATTGTAACAGTATAATTAAATCATCAATAATTTATGCCAATTCGGAAAATAAACTAATTTATTCGAATATCGAAATTAAAATTATTGTTTATAATATTATAATTATCGAATAGTACTCGTAAGTAATTATATTATTATAATTAATGCAATTATTATACGAAAATTAACTATTTATTAATGAAATGCCGAAGCGAATATTGAATTCTGTATTAATAAGAGCGTTATTCACTAGATGGCGCGGATAAAGTTATTTCGATATTAAATTAGGAAAAAGGAAAATAATATGCCGAAGACAAAAATATTAATTTGAGTTTACGGAATATCGAGTTATTTACAGTTGTAAAAATGCAAAATATAAATCATAAAAATTAGAAGAAAATTTGTTATAGCTTTTATATTAATATAGGCTATAACAAGTTTATTCGATTATTTATAAAGTGCGATATTAATTTTTTATTTCGAATTTCTTCACTTTATGATCAATGGTAACGTGATGTAATTTCAGAGTGCAGCGAATATTACATTTTGAGGTGAAAATAGAATTTTATAATTTAGTAACGGAGGCGGCGTTTGGGTGCATAGCCTCTCCGTTTGGCGGCGCAGCGATCGATCCGATGTCTCCCGCATTCTGACTGTCGCTTCGGCCAGGACATGTCGGTTTCGCATAGTTAGTGTTATTGTTGTGTTCTCAGTGAGGGAAATGTCTGGAATGAGTACGAGTCATTATTGATCCGACTCTACCCCGCGACGGAGATGTTGTTGGCCCCATCGTCCATTCATTTCATCAAGGATTCGACAAACGGTGTTTTGACACCGGATCAAACTGTCGTGGCCGATCTTAGTAACAAATTCGAAGGGAATCAAGATAAATTACCGAAGATCCAAGTGGCCCAAAAGGACGGTTCGTGGTTCGCTTTAAATAATAGCTGTCTTCACGTATTCCGCGAGTTAGAGAAACAAGGCAAGTGTTTGCAGATAAGAGTGGAGGTTGTGCCACTTAGTAAAGTGCCATACAGCGTGCAAGAGGGCATGGTGGTGGAAAAAGATGATTCCAAATCGACATTAAATGGTCATAATGTGGATAATAACTGGGAAGAATGGGAATCCGGTAAGTCGATCTCTTCCTGCGATATTTAACAGATATTTATTGCTATTTATAACTAACAGTGGTTGTTTTTCCTTCTAATATTTTAATATTTTTTTAAAGAAACCTGATGTATACATTTTAATGTTTTTCTTGTAAGGATAATTTACTCCTCCTCCGGCGGTGACAGATAGGAACCGTGCTTGAGAATATATTAGTTTAAATAAACAGATTTTTATAATTGCCTGTGTACGGTGATTGTTATGTTAATTTTAATCACGTGTTAAATATATTTAAATGAAAGTACAGCTAAAATTATACTTAGGTAATCGAGACTCGAAAAGTTCAATGATCAAGTTAGTCATCTAGAACATAATCGATTCTTAATTCAGACTCTCTTTCTCTCCTATTTATTTGTTTTATTTTATTTCGTTCTTTTGAGAGTACGTTTTATTATAAAATACTATAGTAAATATTATAGTAATTAAAAGTTCTACTTTATCTACTTACAGAAATATTTGCTTTTGTACTTATATCAAAATTACCATAAATTCAGGCATTTTTTTATTTCTAAATTTAAATACACAGAAAACAATTTTATCGGCCACATGTAGATCGAAACTAAATTGTGATATTTTAGTATCCTACAGTTTCCACGAACTACATAAAATCACAATTCAGTGAAACACAAAGAATTTCCGGTTTAACATTTGATTTATTAGGCAAATAAAATAGAGAGATATACAACAACAATATATAGTCTTTTATAAGTATATATATGTCGGTTTTCTCAATACGTAGAATGCAAATTGTATATTTGTCACAGACTTTGGAAAAATAGCGAATACTTTTAATACAATAATATAAAGTAGGTTATTAGTCATGGTTTTAAAAATAATTATTCAGTCATCCTTCAGAAATTGTGACATAGATACCATTTGTTAAAACTGAAATCATAAAATTGCCTACAAACCCAGTTTAATTATATATATCGAGGACACGAATTGTATACCATTAGTGATGTTCAGTTAATGATTTAAATAGTTAATTCAATTTAAGGATATTAATGAATTATAAAAGTTATATCGAGGAATCACTAGATAACATCATTCACGATGTCACTTCGGATATAAAGGAAGTCAAAGTCATAATTACATTCTATTGAAGTGGATGTAAAATACTCTCCCCTAGAAGTAATTACTGTATTACTATAGTTCTTAATTAAATTATTTTATTGTTATCAGAGAACAAAATCATCAGTAAATATGATTATCGTGTGGAGAAGAAAGCATTTAGTTTTAATTTAATTAATATTTCTATACTAGTATAATTCTTTTCTGTTTACCCGTATTTTCTGCTTTGTGTCAAGGTTGGTTAGTATAGGATGTTTATGGTGAACGCCTCATTTTTAGTCTAAATTTACTAGCTATTGTAATTAAACAGTTAAAACATTTTTATTTGTCTAAGTTTACATATTACATTCGCAAGATTTTTTTTTTTTACTTCTATCAGTAACGAATTACATCTTAACTAATTTAGATAATAGGCTATATGTTAAGAAGTACGAGTTATATTTAAAAAGTTCAAATTAAATTTTATTTTCATCAAATAAATAAATAAAAGAAAGTTTTCCGTATATTTTAATATCCTCCTAAAATTTATGACTAAATTAAATTAAATTGAGTCTGTAAAAAATTGCAAATAATGCATTTCCTACACCAGTAAATTCTTAATCGCGTACACGTTTTCTTAAGAGCTTTATTTTTACTTGAAATAAATTTTGCTTAAAATCAAAAGGCGATTTCTTCTTTAATCAATAAACGTAATAGCACATAGTAATTCCGAATCTCTATGAATTGATGAAAATAAAAATTGCGACAGGATATTATCAACACTGTTTAAATATTATTAAAAAGTTATTTTATGTAGTTAATTCTGAAAACTTTATATAGATATATGTCTAATTTTATGAAATGAGTCGTTAAGTCATTTAATTGTTAAGTGTTACTTTAAAGAATATTTGTAAGGGACGGTAGTTTAGATTAGGAGAGCGTGAAACGTGAAAGGTTAAGGACCACTGATTTATATACTGTTCCATATGTGAAGTTTTCCCGTATAAAATATAACACGCATACTTGCCTGCGCTTGTATGTTTGTGTGTTTATTTATAGTTTCTACTAATTATATTATAAAAAAATTTATAATTTAAAACAATCCGCTTTATATTGTAAATTTATAACGGAGTTTTGACGAATTAAACTTATTTTTCGACAGTATTTAATAATTTAAATAGTCATGTAAATATTTAAAAAAGTGTTGCTAAACTTTGACCTAAAAAAAGTAATTTCAATAAAAACTATACAATTTTTATTTATTATTATTATTATTAATAATTTAAAACTTTAATATTTAATTGAAAAATGATTTAAATTTTAAAATATTTCAGTGTAGTGTAATCTATATTTTTATCCAGAATTTAAATTTTATGATAATAATGTTTCGAAAAAATTAATTGCTGTTTGTTTTTAAGACTGAAAATTTAATTTTCCAAAGTTTAAGATATATGTAATACCTTTCATCATTTCTTTGATAAAGAAAATGACATACCTCAATATATTAAGTTATAGTAAAGAAGAATATTTTATGTTAGGATGAATAATAGGATGTCTGCGTAGTTAACTAATGCATACGATATTCATCAATGTTGCCAGGCACCGAGCGAGAATTTTATAACACCGTTCTCGATATGTAGATTGATATTTTTCATTTATTAAAATATAGATGTAGTGTCAGAATATCGGATATTAATAACAATTTCGCATCACCAAGGTTTCAAATGTTATCAATTAATTAATATTTCATACCTTTTTGAAAAATAGGATTAATTAATGTTTGTTTAATTGAAAGAAAGTAAAGAAAATCACAGGTAAGTTTGATCTATTAGAATATTAATGATTTTAATAACTAATAGGTTATTATATACATTTAAAAATCAATGTTAGATTTTATAAAATATAATACAGGTATATTTTTGAACTTATAAAGTTTATATAAATGTGTAAAGTTTTCAAGGTTCATAAATTAATTTTTCCTTTTTCAAATTTTTTAAAATGTAAACATTATTTTAAATAATGGAATAAAAGACAGTAGACTATAAATAATAATAAAAATAATACGAAGTCTTTTTAAACATATGTTTAGGAAGGAAAGCAGTATTCAATATTTTCTTAAAGAAATCAGATATTGAAATATAAATAAATACTACAGAATATTAAAAAATTTTTTTACTCCAACTCTTTTGAATGAAACGCTAAGATACACAGGTAAAAATATATTAGGAAAATATGTGTATATAAACATATGGTATAAAAATAGATACTATACACATATATAAACACAAATACATACGTACTTTTCAGTGAGATATGCTTAAAAATTTTTAAATACTTTTCAAACATTTTATCCGTTAACTGTTTATTTAAATTAAATTTATGAAATTACTGAAGCGTTTAGTAATAAAGTTAAGCGTTTGTTCACTTCTAATTCGTATGAAAAATAACAACGTGTGTGCATACATCCACACATACATACGGTATAAACAATACATTCCGGTATGTATACCATACATTTATCCATTCATAAATATGCGGGAATTGTTTATATGTAAATACATTAATTAAACTTTATGAACAATTCAAGAATTATGAATTTATCATTCAAGCGATAAAGTTTTGTTTAATTTAAAAGACATTTATCTAGTTTTTGAAAGATTATCCGTTCCGTCACCAGATGGCGATTTTCCCTCGTACTAATTGAAAAAGTACCACTTTAGATATAGTCTACCATTTTCTTCTATCATATCAAATTTTCAAATATTTTAAAGACAAAAATACAATTTTTGATAGTTAATAGGAATATGTAATGGAAATTTAATATATTTAATATTTTTTCGATTAATAAGGGCGCTCTTATAAATTTATAATTAGAAATGATACATATAACCTAATGATAAAATTATAAGATTAAGATACTAATATTAAACTGGAGGATATAAATATCGCGATTTTAATTACACGTACTCTCTATATTCATGTTGGCAAGGTTAAGGTCGTTTATAGTTGAAATTAATAAATGACAAGTATCTGCGGTGAGCGAAAGACAAGACGTATTTTATTTAATAAACGAGAAATATTAATTCTCTTTCTAATCAAAGAGATTTCCTACTTTAATGATCATCACTATTTTTTTATTTTAAATTATTTCGGTAGATTAATTGATGTTCCTTACTTCGAGAGTTGTTGAAAGCGTTATTAGAACATGTTTATAAATGGGTATATTTTTCATCACACATTTTAAATTGTTTCAAATATTAAATAAAATTAATAAGATCTTTATTTACTATTTTAAAATATCTTTTATGTTTCATAAGTCTAAATTTAAATTTTAAACTGAAAAATATTCATCCTTTTTTATACTTGTATTTTATAAAAAATATCTCAATAAATAAATTACTGTATTATTTAAATTATTATTACAAATCTCAATAGTAATTATGAATATTAACATTAATCTCTTTAATTTTTATGTGTATAAATAACTGTTTAATTTTTAATAGGAAGCAAACAATAAAAATGTAATATATTTTAGTTATTGCATTCAATTTAATTCAATTTTAAATGGCTTAATTTTGATAATTTTTGAATATTATTACATATGATTTTTATGTCCGATTGCATTATTAACACGCATAATAATAAATAGACAAGTGTCAATGAATTTTTATTGTAATTATCAATATTTTACAGATAATAGACAATCTGGAAATTAGATTGAATGGCTTTGTAATGCTAACTAGTAAAGTATTAATAGAAATTTATTAATTTAGAAACTGTTAATGCCATAAATAAGGCTTGAATATTAACTACCATATTTGCTATAATATAATTATATAATTAGATTTATAATAAACATAGAATTATAGACTTAAATACATATCTTTATTATGTTAATTATCTTTGTATTACATTGATTTCTATTTACTGCATCGTCCGTCTTTAGCTAATATTATTACGCAAATAGTTAATAAATTAAAAATATTACTTTTTATATATTTTCAGAGTAATATATATTTTCCATTTTATTACTTAATATTAATATTAAAGCATTTTCTTTAATTTGTTAAATTACTTAAATTGCGAGTAATTACCTAAATTATGTAAAGGGATCTCTTGTGTATACTTTACTTCATTACGTTGTTTCCAGTAAAGGTTAATCATTGTTTTTATATTATTAAAGTTTCCTCAGTGTAACGTACAGAATAATAGAATATTATATTTAATCAATAAATAATAAATATGTTTTTTTTAACGTTTCACTCGAACCTATATTTTTATTGCATAACAACTTACATAATGTACAGAACTGTATATACGTTTATATATAAAGTACAATATTTTGTTATAAATCCAAGAAAAGAACAAACATTTTTTAAAGAGTGTAGTCTAAAGCAACCACCCCTTATAAATGTCCCAATTGGATTGTTTTAATAGAAAAATGTTTAAAATTATTTTTAAAAAATTGTAAGAAAATGATAATTTTATCTTTATTACATTCCACCGAAATCTATAATTTATACCTTATAAACCATAAGAATGTAGTTGTCTTTAGTGAGATATTCGTCAGTGTAAATATCGACTTTTAATATCTTTCTGCTGTAATAAGTTTCGATTTTATGCTAGAATCTATATATACGGCTGTATAAAATTAATTTATTATTAAATTTGTTTTTTTTTTCTGAATTTCTAGTNTTTAATAGGAAGCAAACAATAAAAATGTAATATATTTTAGTTATTGCATTCAATTTAATTCAATTTTAAATGGCTTAATTTTGATAATTTTTGAATATTATTACATATGATTTTTATGTCCGATTGCATTATTAACACGCATAATAATAAATAGACAAGTGTCAATGAATTTTTATTGTAATTATCAATATTTTACAGATAATAGACAATCTGGAAATTAGATTGAATGGCTTTGTAATGCTAACTAGTAAAGTATTAATAGAAATTTATTAATTTAGAAACTGTTAATGCCATAAATAAGGCTTGAATATTAACTACCATATTTGCTATAATATAATTATATAATTAGATTTATAATAAACATAGAATTATAGACTTAAATACATATCTTTATTATGTTAATTATCTTTGTATTACATTGATTTCTATTTACTGCATCGTCCGTCTTTAGCTAATATTATTACGCAAATAGTTAATAAATTAAAAATATTACTTTTTATATATTTTCAGAGTAATATATATTTTCCATTTTATTACTTAATATTAATATTAAAGCATTTTCTTTAATTTGTTAAATTACTTAAATTGCGAGTAATTACCTAAATTATGTAAAGGGATCTCTTGTGTATACTTTACTTCATTACGTTGTTTCCAGTAAAGGTTAATCATTGTTTTTATATTATTAAAGTTTCCTCAGTGTAACGTACAGAATAATAGAATATTATATTTAATCAATAAATAATAAATATGTTTTTTTTAACGTTTCACTCGAACCTATATTTTTATTGCATAACAACTTACATAATGTACAGAACTGTATATACGTTTATATATAAAGTACAATATTTTGTTATAAATCCAAGAAAAGAACAAACATTTTTTAAAGAGAGTAGTCTAAAGCAACCACCCCTTATAAATGTCCCAATTGGATCAATAAATAATAAATATGTTTTTTTTAACGTTTCACTCGAACCTATATTTTTATTGCATAACAACTTACATAATGTACAGAACTGTATATACGTTTATATATAAAGTACAATATTTTGTTATAAATCCAAGAAAAGAACAAACATTTTTTAAAGAGTGTAGTCTAAAGCAACCACCCCTTATAAATGTCCCAATTGGATTGTTTTAATAGAAAAATGTTTAAAATTATTTTTAAAAAATTGTAAGAAAATGATAATTTTATCTTTATTACATTCCACCGAAATCTATAATTTATACCTTATAAACCATAAGAATGTAGTTGTCTTTAGTGAGATATTCGTCAGTGTAAATATCGACTTTTAATATCTTTCTGCTGTAATAAGTTTCGATTTTATGCTAGAATCTATATATACGGCTGTATAAAATTAATTTATTATTAAATTTGTTTTTTTTTTCTGAATTTCTAGTACCCGAATGGATATTGTCACTATATTTCTTCAATCATCATGGCCAAACGACAATTTTTATATACTTTAATTTATTCTTCAATTATCCATTATCAATAATGTTTTATCGCTTACTTTAATTAAGAAAATATACTGTGGAATACTGGCCAATGCTATTCAAGTTTAGTTTTGTTGGAGTATAGCCAATTGTTGTTAAAAGTGGTGCATTATGTCGAGAGACTTAATAACATGTGGAAGCAATTCCAATTACGGCACAGAAATATCGATGTTCTTACATTCATTCATCTAAACCAATTAAACTAGTTGTCGATAAACTCTATTCTATTGATCTTATTTTGGCGTACAGTACAGTACTCGAAAAGATTCAGTCTGTAACTTTAAATTACAAAACTGTATCGTGACATTTAGTATAGTCTGATGGCTGCAGCAAATGGAGGAAACTGGAAAGAAAAGTTGTGGAAAAAATCTTATCCCATCTCTCGATTTTCTCTATTGGCAATCAAAGAAAGAAAATTATCTTCAAAGTAATCAAAACTATGATTGAAGTGACAATGAGATTAGAACTCATGTGAAACTCAATAAACGTCGACTGTTATTTTTTTAAATATTTTAATTTCTTTTTAAAATTTAAATAGTTCATTTTACACTTTTGGTGTTCTTTACGGAAACGTAACTTAAACGGTTGAATTCTTATTAAGTCAGCATTTATCATTAAAAAAATTTATTCTATGATTTAATTTTCTTTCGCTATCAGTTACTTTTTAAGCAACTGTATAGGTTTTATTTTTTTCCGTTTAAAAATGATTAAATTATCTTTTGAAAGTTTTTATAAAATTTAATAAAAATATTTAAATTTAAATTATCTTAAGTTTTTTAATTCATGAAATTATTTTTGTAATCTCAATGATTCGATACAGTCTATTTTTAATCACAAGGAATAACAATCTTCGGAAGAAAGATAAAAACTTACCCTTCTCAATGATTTTCGATAAACTTTATCTATTATATTCTATTGAACTGTAATGACGTGAATAATCGCTCCTCAAAGAAAGATAGCATAATGACTTTATAATTATAGAAATATTTCTGAATAAATATCAATTTGCATTTAAATAAAACAACTTTGAAAGTTTTTGATTTTTTTTTTGAATAAACAAATTGAAAAAATCAAAATTGATAAAAAATTAATTATTTTTATATTATTTCTAGAATTGATTTTTAAGTCTCATGCAAGATACAAAAAGCCCTTTTTTTATCGATTATAATAACAAATTAAATAAAAAGATATAAAATTTTTGTGTCAGAATTTTTTTTATTATATTTTGTGGTAAGTTCAAGGCCTAAAATATAAAATGATATTTAATTATAAGTGTCGTAATCGCTTATAATTAAATAAATGATTACGTCATTTATAATGACATAAGTTATAATTTATAGGTGGCATAATCTTTGAGTAAGCTACAGCAAACTAGCTCTTAATGGGCTATATTATCGGGCTGATTATATTTTTGATTATAATGCCTTAGAAATGAAGAAGGATTCTACCCCTTAGACAAAATGTAGTAAGATATTAAATAAATTAAAATATAAATAAATACAGTACATAAAAACTAACTTTACGTAAAGATATGCAATATATATTTATGTAAAAAATTAAAAATTTGTTATATTTTAGATATAGGATGGAACCTACTAAGTTTAATGCTTTATTACAACTGAACGATGAGGTACAATTTACAAATTTTAATTAAATATCATTCAAAGCGTTTGAAGCCATTTATATTACAATATGTTCAATATATCGACTTAACACCAACTTTTGCATCATAGAAAACATCGTGGAAAGCAATTGACTGGTCTGAATATTCTCCAGATCTGAATCTTTGAGACTTCTTTCTATGGAGATATCTCAAGAACAAAATGTACTGTAACAAATAATCCAAAAATTTTGGAAGAGCTCGAACCATCTATTGAGTGCGAAATCTTTACTATTCGGAAAAACGTTCTTAAAAGTGTAATGGCGAACTTTAGGATAAGACTAAGAAGAATCGAAANTAAAATATAAAATGATATTTAATTATAAGTGTCGTAATCGCTTATAATTAAATAAATGATTACGTCATTTATAATGACATAAGTTATAATTTATAGGTGGCATAATCTTTGAGTAAGCTACAGCAAACTAGCTCTTAATGGGCTATATTATCGGGCTGATTATATTTTTGATTATAATGCCTTAGAAATGAAGAAGGATTCTACCCCTTAGACAAAATGTAGTAAGATATTAAATAAATTAAAATATAAATAAATACAGTACATAAAAACTAACTTTACGTAAAGATATGCAATATATATTTATGTAAAAAATTAAAAATTTGTTATATTTTAGATATAGGATGGAACCTACTAAGTTTAATGCTTTATTACAACTGAACGATGAGGTACAATTTACAAATTTTAATTAAATATCATTCAAAGCGTTTGAAGCCATTTATATTACAATATGTTCAATATATCGACTTAACACCAACTTTTGCATCATAGAAAACATCGTGGAAAGCAATTGACTGGTCTGAATATTCTCCAGATCTGAATCTTTGAGACTTCTTTCTATGGAGATATCTCAAGAACAAAATGTACTGTAACAAATAATCCAAAAATTTTGGAAGAGCTCGAACCATCTATTGAGTGCGAAATCTTTACTATTCGGAAAAACGTTCTTAAAAGTGTAATGGCGAACTTTAGGATAAGACTAAGAAGAATCGAAATTGAAGTTGTGAACAAACGTAATGAACATTTTTAATATAGATGGCTTAAAATTCCAATTTAAATGATATTTGAGTGAAATAATATACTTCGTTGTTAGGTTGCAATAAAGCATTTAACTTATTAACAGATGGATGGTCTGATCAGAAACAGAGGAGCCGATATTAATGAGGAATGGAAAACGAAATGCAATAGGAATTGCTAATAAAAACTGCTGAGACGTCAGGATCAGATTCTAATCTTGATTTCTCAATCTTTCATGGCAATCCTCTTATATCTTCCCACCCGATAAGTTCGACTGAGGATTGAGTGATAGTCTGAGAATCTATGATAAGGAAGAGAGATAATTTAAAATTTCAGTATATTTGAAAATCATGTACTGTATGAATTACAATGACGCACAAATCTTCATGAATAGGTTGTAAATTTTTTAGATTTAATATGCACTGTTAAGTATACATTAAATCTAAATTTAAGACAAACGAATTTTTAAAGTATAAGACATATCAAGAAATAGATATTGTAATAAATTTCTTAGTATCACGTTTCTTATACTTTCGGAAAAGATAATAATCATATTTACTTAGTATAAAATAACAGTAATAACTATTATTTAGTATAAAGTATACTAAGAAATAAATTTGCAGTTTCTTTCAGGTTTTTTTCGTTTATTACACCAGTTAAGAGTTTTGGTCTTATTTGATGAGAAATGTTTTCTTTGCAAAATATCTAAGATCCTTTACGTTACATTCTAATGATATTAAAAAAAATGTTGACTAGATTTGATAAATTTTATTATTTAAAACGAAGGACTAGCAATGCTTTTACATGAATTAAATAAATAAAAAATTGCAATAGATGATTAACAAAAACGGCAAAATAATATGATTTTATAATAAATATTGAATAGGAAATTATTAATATATTTAAAAATAGAGTTATTTAATATAATAATTTCTAATATAATATGGTATTTAATATGGTAATTATGGTATGGTCATTAAAAAATTAATAAAAAGTAATAGGGGAGATCGGGGCAAGATCGGCATGTTAAGCTTTACTTAAATTTTGTGTAATAAATACTGCTGTAAACTGAAAAAAAAAGCTTTGCATATTGTCTATTGGAATGTTACCTTACTATAGAACTGGTTAAAATCAGTTTGGAAATAAAAATAATTAAAATAATTACAACTTTACAAGAAGAGAGAAATTGACGAAGTTGCCCCGGGTATAGGGGCAAGATCGGCAACTTCTCTCTTTTTGTAAAGTTGTAATTATTTTAATTATTTTTATTAAAGTTGCCCCTGGTATAGGGGCAACAGTAATGGGGCAAGATAGGCACGTATATAAAATTATGTTATTAACAATGTATAAGTTGGAATTCACTATTAAAACAAAGAAATACAAATCCAACACCCATTTAATATTATTACAACGAAATGCAAGTTCAAAGACATATATACATGAATAACAAATGCAAACATGTTTTCATTTATCATCTGTTTGATTTTTATCCTTTGCTTCTAATGTGGCTTTATGTTGCCGATCTTACCCCGCTAGTCATGATTTCGAAACATTAAGTACAACCCTGAGAACAGAATGCCAAGCCACGATCTGGCCACGTGAATAAGTTGAAGTTACATCCTTCTAACAGGAAAAGTAACTTTCGTTATCATGGAATTATAACAAAACCTGCCAATTCAATATAAATGGAAAAAAAATATTATATGGAATTGAACGAAAATGAAAATTTGCTTGATAATTCAACTACGCTTGTTGGAGAACAATAAAAACACTACACTCAACAAGCCACCAATAAAACTCAACTGCCTAACCTATAACCAAAGTCTCCTTTTAATTTGTTTTTAAAAAAAAGCGCTTGACAAACTTGCCCCGCATGCCGAAGTTGCCCCAGTCTCCCCTAAATATTGGTAAAAACTGCCAAATAAAAGTTACGAATTTTTGTATGAAATAGGAGTCTGCAAAGAATTAAATTCCGTATTAAAATTAAAACAAATTGAGCTACAATTTGAAAAAAATTGTAGACCTATAAATTTTCACTGTCGTCCGTCCGTTCGTCCGTTGTCTGTCTTTTCTTAATCTCGAGAACGGAGTTAGATGAAAGATGAGACAGACTAGATATAGAAACCGTAGGGGCAGGAGCCCCGATTAAATATATTTCGTTAATAACTATATGTTATTTCAATTCAAACATTTTCTTCTAAAAGGTGTTATATAGACAACAGGCACGATTCTATTGTTAAAGGAAAGTATGATGTACAGGGGCAAGCCACTACTAATTTTAGGTGGAGAGCATATATTTTAAATAACATCAGATTAGAATAAAATACACTCTAATGTAAAATAAATAAATAAATTCACATACTATTCTGAAAAATTAATTTTTTTTCCTTAAATTCTTAAAAATTAAATTAAAATCTTAAATTATTCTTATCTTTAATTAATTAAAATTGATAATTACTAAAAATATAATGAACAATTCATTTAATATATTTCATAGCTTAAATAGAAATATTAAAATATAGACGGACTGTAAATATCGAATATTTGCAGTTTAATAATGTATTTAATACAATAGTTAATATGCAGCAAACCATAAACTATAAATCGTTTGAGAAATGTATTTAATTTATCAAACGATTTATAACAAGAAGGATGTAAATTATTGAAAACTTAACTTTTAATTCAATGCACAGGCAATATTAAATTAAGCATAATATATACGATATACTGTATGTTCAATGAATAATACTGTATAAGAATTTAACATTTTATATACCGTTACATTATATATTGATGGGTTTAAAAACAGATACCCGGTAGCACGTTAAGTATTAATTGAAACTGTCGATATTTAGATAATCAAAATGGAAATTGTGTTTTAAATTCATGTTATAACGAAATCATATA